GGTGCGTCTGTGTCCTCGGACGACTTTCCAGACGACTTTTTGGGGCTCTTCTTTGAGTCTTTCGATGACTTGTCATCCACGTCCAGGGTTGCTTTTATCGCATACCGATATAGCGATGGTGTCTTGACATCGAGTCCAAAGTAGTTTGCCCAAAGCGTAACCGGCGTTCCCTTGGTACCAAAAGCCGGTCGACAAGGTAGATAGTCGTCGGCGGAAGGCTTTGCGCCCTTCTTAGAGGAGATCTGTAGGGCCGACATCTTGTTTGCCATGCCGAGATCAACCAAGATCTTGTCCTCAAGTTTGGCTATATTAGTGTCCGGGCGTGGCACGGCATTCGCTCTACATTCCCGTCAGCATTGAAGGCGTCATCTGGATATAGTCAAACTCACCTGAATACCAGGTCTTCGCCTTGGAACTTGTCGCGCCCACCTCGACCACCCCGAAAACCACCACCGCCTCGTCCACCGCCGCCGCCACCTCTGCCACGACCTCCACGATCTCCGCGATAGTCGCCGCCGCCGCGCCCACCACGATAGTCACCGCCAGCGGGGCCGATTCCAGAGAAGGTAGCACCACCACCTCCGCCGCCACGCCCGCCGCGAAAGCCTCCTCCACCCCCACGTCCGCCACGATCGCCTCCCCGGCCACCGCCGCGATCACCGCGGCCTCGGTAGTTGCCCCTGCCGCGGTCCGCCATGCTGTCCTCTGATGGGGTCCTGACGAAATAGAGAGCAGAGCTCAAAAGATACCAGGATTAAGAAAGATCGTCGACGTCTGGTTGAGCCGCGACGATCAGACGTAAAGAACTGGCGGTCCCCGGGTATCAAGTTCGGCCTGATGATATCAGCATGAAGTCAGAGGGGATAGAATAGATACGGAGTGGTATGGGATATCAATATTTAGGCTCCTTAGAAGACCAGAGGAGGTATAAGCGAATTGATGGGAACTTGTGCAGAAAAATATATATACCTTCTCGTGTATGGTTGTTCCTGTAGTCAGACAAGAAATCCGTGTCTCGAATACTCTAGAGACAACAAGTTTGGCCGTAAAAACCGTTTGGTGTTGAATATCTAAACACAATGAAAGAAAAGACGGCTTGACGCGTAGGAAGCCTAGGGCAACCATACGAAAATGTTGGTCCGACAATCTTGTTACGTGCTAGACGCGATGATGTTGCCAACTTTGATTTCTGGTCGCGTGCTGGGTAAACAAGCGAGCTCTGCTGTAGGTAAACCTCGTTGTTGGTGTAGCGACCAGGTCCAAAGTGGTGGTTTGAGAAGAATGGCGCGAGCCCAACACTCAAACACAGTAGGCGACGTAGAGGACGCGATGTGTGGGGTCTAAATACCCTAGACGAAGAGAACCACAACACAAGAACCAGGTGTCTCTCCTAAACGGTTTACTACTTGGTAAATGGGATTGAAGGTGATAGATTCTCTGGTAGAGAGAAAAAGTTTTGAGGAAGAAGAGGGAGGGCGAGAAAAGGTCGAAGCCCACCTGCCAACAAGACAAGGTCTATTTTACTTGTAGAGGTGAGAAGGTACCTCCAAGTAACTTGCACCTACCCATTACCATAAAATCAGCTGTCATTTGTGCAACCACGTCCGATGTCAACACTTGCAGGAGCTGTTGTTCCTTCCGTTTCTTCGAGATCGACCCCCTCTACCAAAAAGGACGCCAACGTAATGCTATTATTCGCTTTGCTTTTTGTTTAGGTATCTTTTTCTATCAAGACTCGAGAGCGGTGTGCAGCTGTGTCTGTTGTGCCGCCTCTCGTCGAGGATTTCGGCATCAGCAAAACTGTCCCCCGGTCGGGCAGCTAACCGTTTTAGGGCCCAATTTGACATTTGGGACCCGTGCACATGGCTCCCGGGCTCAAACGTATCCCTGTTCTAGCCCACGCCCCTTGTTCTTTCCCTACCTCTCGTGGTTTATCTCCGGCCCAGCAGCTACGCCCTACGCCCCAGAAACGTCATCGCCCAAAAGATGGAATGGGCGTTTGTGAAATCATTTTTGCATTGGATATTGTCATTTGCTACTTGCGATTTGTACTTGATCCTCATTACTGCCGGTAGGTACTATGTACATAGAACCCAGGTATCCAAATAAACTCCAAACCATAATCAGCATACTATGTACATAGTACTACATTATTGATGCAAAGTATGTCAAGGAGCCGGGAATACAGGGTACAAACAGAAGCTTATAGGTATCCCTGTCCATCTTCAGAGTGGTGCGGCGAACTTACACCGCCCGATTAGCTTGTCTTGCTTTCTCCAGGCAGGGGTTGCCATGTCTAAATTCGGTTGAAGCAACAAGCCTCTGGCTAGCAATCGTCACTACCTAGTACTTTATCATCACTATCACTCGTAGATGGCTTGGCTGATAATGTATTGTCAATTCGACGGCATGGGCTAAGCATGGGGTTGTGCGTCAATTGTCGATATTAAACGACGTAAAGTCGTGGGAAGTATCTAGTATGTACACTTCATCAGCCCCTAAACTTGGCCTGAAAATGACATGTCTCTTTGACAACAAAAGTTGGTCAGCTCATCACATCCGTAGGATGTAAACAGCCAGAGGTTTATCCAGCTTATGAGTCATACTGGCTGGTCCTTTGGAGAATCGTATTCGTCCTACGGGAATAATAGCCAATGACGTTTAGAGTTGAGCGTGTGCGATCGAAAGCAACCCCTCTCAGTCAGGTCTTGATGGTCCATCTTCAAAGTCGATACACAATATTTCACTACAGCTTCATACGAGAACATGTATAGGATAGTATCTACAGCTTCCTGGAAATAAATTGCGACATATCTTCGCCAGAGATCAACTAATTCAGGTATCCTGTGGACCTATACATAATGCAGCCGATGTGTAACACATCCCGTATCCCGGCCGTCATTTCGTGACTTTGACAAACGCCAGCAGCTTAGCTACCCTACGTACTCAATCCACCCAATACGCGGGCTATCAACTACCTAACATAGTAATCAGCAAACGAATTTGAGCCTCATTGACCCCATTCATCAGCATTATGCCGGCTTGACTATCCCCATGCGTATGTCAAGCCGAAGTAACCGTGCGCCACTCTCTCTTTGCAGGTTGTCGATCCGCCGGTTGTGCCTCAACGGGAACCAAGCTCTCCCATTGGAGAGCCAACATTGGGCCTCACAACGTGTACAATGGCCTCATTAGGCCGATTTCTGACACGTAGACTCTTTGAGTAAGCTGCTTTTCATCTTTCCAGGCTACTACCGAAAAGCCATTGGTGATGAAGGGAAGCAGCCAGCCGACAGCGTTTGTTGCACAGCTCAACTCCGGCTAGTCCCCCGTGGGGTAACCAACTACTGCTGTCGGTCCGGTCCGTTATCTACATCGTTTTATCCACAGCTAACAAGCTGGTAACGCATAAAGGGGACGTGCTCACAACTAGTCAGCTCTGGTCGGCTCCCTTTTTAGGGAGAATAGCCCTGAAAAGCACTGATCATATATGTATGATACTTAATGTAATAGGCTCATGTCATATCAGTTGATATTAAAAGTGTGGTCGCACATGCGCGTTGCTTGAACCAAATGGATCGACAAAACATTTACGTAGCACAACATCTGCATACCTACATGTAGGCACTTATTTCAGTCTTGAACTTGTTGGATTTTGTCAGTAAGTGATACGTAATGCTGGACCGGCGTATGGCCTTGTAACTATAATAAACGCCCTTAAAGTCCTACGACAAACGGAGGAGGCAAATACCATTCGTTGTCTCGACTAGCCGCTGGGTCATCACAACCGATAGGTGTGGCTCGTAAGAGTAACCTGGAGGAACCTAACATCCTAATAAAAACAATTTCGCCTCCGGTTCATTAATTAGGTACAGTACGGATGCTACCAACCAAGAGGTATAGATTTCGTCATGCTGGCATATGTTTTGCTAATCGGTTACGGAACAAATGGTCAAGTCGGGATTCAAGCAATCTACTGGCAGCGCGAACGAGGACTATCCAAGGAAACAAATTCCCTTAGTGGAAACGCACCATGCACCAGTTTGATGTTGGATATATTCGGATGATGTCTCCTCACGATAGTATTTGCTAGGGGCAAGCTGTCCCGGAGAGATAAATCCTAGTGATATTGAAGACAAGGTATTTCAAGAGGTATCGAAATATGAGCAGCGTTTAATATTACTCCTTTACATGGAAGCGGATATTACCGAATGGACCATTATGTTCGGTATGACTGCCTGGCGGTTTGCCTTGCCATTCTCTCACTAACGTAGAGGGTAGAAGGGATCTGATGCATCCGTACCTCTATCCTAAGTCCACTCGATATTATAAATGGCAATAGCCTGGTGGATAACTTTGAGGACTCTCTTAGTGATACTATAAGCAAACTTCTTTCCTCTATGTAAACTTAGCGTTTTCACTACATAGTAAGTCTACTCTTTTACATACTACAGTATCGATACGGTGTTCTAAAGGGGTGAGTTTGAAGGAGACTTAGTACGTAGCAATACATTCAAGTAATCACAACCGTATGGACTACATCTTTGAAAGGAAGCTCGCCATACATTCATTAATCCTTCTGCTTTTGCGTATCCAAGCCCCGCATAGGCGGAATATCTTGACAAGTGTAAGATCACTATGAAGCAATGCAACATGCCCCTATCCTTGCTCTCATAACGTTCGTAGACATGACCATGAAACTGCTTATTTGGAGTTTTCTTACAGGATCGTGAGCAATAATGTATAAGTTGCGAAATCACGACGCACATGTACGAGTAACCGACACGATAAATTAAAGGGAGTGGTATATGAATATTGGCATATCTTCAAGTTGCATGTGTAAGTAGTACATGGCCACGGGTAGGGTAGCAAGCGCGGGATAAAATTCGGGCTGTGGTGCCACCCCCCACACCCTTTTAGGGCTGGGTGGGATATAGTATGCATTAACGAGAAAAGTTTTCACCAACGACTGAGGAAGTCTGAATATTCAGATTGAATCAGCCCGGTTAGCTCAATCGGTAGAGCGTGAGACTCTTAATCTCAAGGTTGCGGGTAAGTTCATCCTGTTCGATTCGTACATCGACCACTTTATACTAACCTTTCCGCCTTAGGTTCGACCCCCGCATCGGGCTCAATTCCTGATGCATCTCTTCAAGAGATCTTGTGAACTCAACTTTGAGATCAATTAACCTTTTGCAATATTTTTTTCCCTTTTTATTTGACTATTATCTCACTTACTATCCTCTTGTTTTATTTTTCTCGAGTACGAGTCTGTTAAATAATTCAAAGTCCTTGGGAATCATCATATCAGAATGACCCGGCCAGTTCGATGTCGCTTCAACACGGTTTTCTCAATGATTTATCCACCGCTTTACGCTCTCGCTAGGACTTCGAGAAAATATGAAATATAGGGACGGGGACAGTAGGTATAACCATACATCCTGAGGATGGCATTTTATTCTCTTCGAGCATCTATTTGACCGCGTTGAAGCAGTGAAACTGTAGTACTACGTACGGGCCTCGGTGGCGGGGAGGCTACCTATATGTGAGTACCTAGGAGATGGAAAGGAGTTGTTGCCGGAGAAGTTATGTTCAGACATATGATTTGATCCTGTGAGACGATTTCATATCAACCACCATAGAGATATATCGGTCTGCATACTACGAAACTAAGTAGAATCAGGTAGATTTGTCATGACCTGCCGTAGCAACTTCTAGTATCTCTTTCTCCAGTCCTGCGACATGAACAAACTCAATGCCGGCATCCATCAACTTCCGCTTGCTGGAGTTTTCGCTGACAAACTTTTCTGGTTCATGAACGCCGACATAGACTGTCTTAATCTTGCCCCCTATAGCTAATATCCTGTCCACACATGGTAGATTTCCGCTGAGCCTCTGAGAGCATGGCTCTACAGTTGTGTAGAGCGCAACCTGGTTCGGGAGGGCTTCACTTAGATGGCTTGCCGCAACACCATGCTTTTCTGCAAGCTTCTCAAAACAGCACTGCTCTGCATGAGTGTTTCCCGGAAGCTCCAGAGTGTAACCAGTCGCTAGTATCACATTCGTAGCTGTGTCTACTACAACAGCTCCAACTCGGTAGTTGGTGGGCTTTGGCGGGGATTGAGCTGCTAGAGAGAGGGCTAGCTTCATATACGACAGGTGGTCTTCTGCCCCTATGTTTCCCGGTAGTTCAAAAGTCGTTTCAGCCATCAAGTCAGTCATTTCCCCATAGAGTTGGCTCGTGGAAGGAGTGAAGTGAACCAAGGAAAGAGTGCTTGCTCAAGCTTCAATACGCAAATACCCCACTAGCCCCGCTACTAAAAAATTGGTAGTATCTTATCGATAAACCCGCGTAGATTAGTACAGTAGGAAACGCGTGTAACGCGATCTGGGCAACATTGAATTGATGTCAAGCACAACTGCCGTGGAGACGTACTTAACGTAACCCCAAACTTCACAGCTACATCCTACATCCTAAGTCATTCTCCAGCTCTTTTCATTATGGACAATTCAGACGACTTCCTTGAGGATGAACCACCCGTCATCGACCCATACGAGGTCCTCGGCTTAGAGCGAACTGCTGATGAGAGCCAAATCAAATCGGCCTATCGAAAACTAGCTCTGAAAAACCATCCAGGTAGGCGTTCCATCACATAAAGGTAATGCTTATTCTGTGCATTCTTACAATGGTGTCCTATTTGTAGACAAAGTTCCCGAGGACCAGAAGCAAGAGGCGCATGAAACCTTTCAATCTATAGCCTTCGCATACGCTGTCCTGTCCGATCCCGCAAGACGCAAGCGCTATGACGAGACGGGCTCGACATCTGAGTCCATTATCGACTCGGACGGCTTTAGCTGGTCGGATTTCTACCGGGAGCAGTACCGCGATACGGTGACCGCCGATACGATCGAGAAGTTCACCAATAAGTACAAGGGTTCCGACGAAGAGAAGGACGACGTCTTGGTTGCTTACGAGAAGTACGAGGGCAAGATGCACATGATCTACCAGTCTGTCATGCTCAGCAACGTCCTAGAAGATGATGCACGGTTTCGCGCAATCATCGATGAGGCGATTGCCTCTAAAGACGTACCCGCATTCGAGGCGTACACCAAGGAGAGCAAGAAGTCGAAGGATGCTCGACTCAAGGCTGCGCGGAGGGATGGCAACGAAGCTGAGGAATATGCCAAGAAAATAGGTGTCCATGATAAGCTATTCGGAGGCAAGGGCAAGGGCAAGGACAAGAAGGGATCATCCGAGGACGACTTGGCAGCGCTCATCCGCCGCAATCACACAGGGCGAGGCAATTTCTTGGATAATCTCGCAGCCAAGTACGGCGCAACACCAAGCACGAAGAAAGGCAAGAAGCGCGCAGTACAAGAAGAAGAACCCTCAGAGGAAGCTTTCCAGGCCGCTGCCGCAAGACTGAAAAAGGGTAGGAAGAAGTGAAGTCGGAATCAGTCTGGTTTTAGCTCATTCATGGCGTATCTGGTACTAAGGGAAATCAAGGGAAATCATCAGAGCGGGTATGGATTAGGGTTGAATTCTTGCCATGCGGCTTATGATTCGCTATTTGCTATTAATGGGTATAGCACAATTGTGCGGCAGGTCTCTAGCACCAAAAATTCAACATATCTATAACTTGTTCTACTATGGCATCCGTGGGTGTCATAGATGAAGCTATACTCGTAGCACTAGTACCTGTAAGCGCTACTTGCAGGTATGTCGTAATAAGTGGGGCCTCCCGCAGCTCAGCTCAGGCGCTCCAAGCACTACCTAGTAAGCTCCAGGGCTTGCCTAAAGCTTCTGCGGCTGTTTATGCGACTGTCGCGTCACTCTAGACAAACCCACGAACTTCAAACTTTGAGACACAACACGCGCCAGCTCTGTAGTATTGCTTTTCGCGGTCGACCACAGCAATCAAAATGCGATGACAAGCGTGGAACCACTTGTGTACTATCCAGCATATTGTTTCCATCTGTCCCCTACAATAAACAAATGGTGTCCGCTACGCGCTACCGACATCCATGGTCTTGAGTGCCGACCTGGATTTGAAGGTATATCTTTACTCATAGCACCCGTCCCGAGTGCGTAACTGAGAGCTTACCGTATAAAAGGTGACAATGTGTTCTTCTCTTCCAATCACCCGATCCGTTGGGTTCGAATAGTGGGAGTCGTGGTTGCGATCGACGAGTATTATGGCCATCGAAACTACACTATTGACGATAGCACCGGCGCGTGTATCGAATGCTGCATAGATATCCCGAAACCAGCGAAGAGTCTGCCCCAAAACGGCACAGCTTGGGGGGCTCTCACAGTTGCTCCTGCTCCCACTTCAGCTCCGGATCCATATTCGGATATCGATGTTGGCATGGTTGTAGAAGTCAAAGGTAGCACAAAGCTCTTCAGGGACCAGAAGCAGATCAGTGTCCAGAAAATGCAGAGAACTAGGTCTACGAACCAGGAAGTTCAATTTTGGAACAAGATTAGCGACTTTCGACGGGAGGTCCTCAGCCAACCTTGGATGCTGGAGAAGAGAGAAGTGCGCCGGTGCAAGAAGCAGCATATGGCTGATGTGGATGCTGAGGAGAGGAGAAGAAAGAGGAAAGAAGAGAAGAGGAAAGAAGAGAAGAGGAAAGAAGAGAAGAGGAAGGAGATGGGGTATGTTATTAACGGAGGTGCCCAGAAGCAAGAGGCCATGGCCAGGGATGCGGACACGAGAAGGAAACCTACGAGACGAGAGCCTCGGACCCAGCCGGAAACTGGTCATCCGTATACCGAGGGCCAGTATAATGCATTGGGCCTATGAGGGTACACCATGGGACTCCGAAATACTCTGCTCTAGATCGATAAACTCCGGCGTGTTTCCAGTCGTTTAAGCATGTGTTTTCATGACTGACGAGTTTAGTAAGATGCCACAGCAAGCATCGTAATGACAACTGTCTGATTACTAGTCCTTACAAATAAATACAAGAATCGGAACACCTCTACGCATCCTAGTCGAATGGCTCCTCGATATATCTATGTAGAACAGCAATAGTCATTGATATACAACTACGTGATATTCCTCAGTGTTAATGTTGAACGACCAGAGTGGGGTCGCCGGGTTTAAACCTACGCCAATTATCCAATATCAATCAGAATATGCAGCCCATGAGCGCTCTTTACAAGATACGTCTTTATATAAGTTGTAACTACCTCAAGTGTGAGCAAAATTATGTCTTTCTTAGTCTAAGCATCTCTCTTATCAATCTGGAAGTCGTTACTCGGTGCAGTTGCGAAGTTATTATTGATTACGTACGCCCTGTGCAGGATCTATGTAGCTCAGGCCCGTTTGGTTTAACTTATCAACATCCATCACAATGGCTTCTCATCATCACTCTTCCTTTTCTGAATAGATCCTATAGGCCTAGCGCCCCAATCCGAGACCTACCGAATCTTTTTTGCACTCAATACTTCAATATTTCTATATTGTACAAGTCTAGGCTCATCTCGTTCTTCAATCTTAGCATTTCGTTCCCTCAACTCTCATTCCAGTGACTCTTCCAGACTCTTTCGCTCGCTTAAGCTCGTCATCTAGGTAGGTTCCTTCAACCCATATCCAAGACAGCCCATTCCTCCCGTCATAGATCCTCCACGTCAGTTCGTGTTGTCAACCCTGACTCAACCGTCGTCCGGCGCACCATCATCATTCTTGGACAGCTCTATTCGGGTCACCTACCATGTCATTCAAGAACACGTTCGGTCCGCCCACTACTTATGGGCTTGGACGTTGGGCTGTAAACCTCAAGTTCAAACTTATATGCTATGCCAATATAATTATGAATCTATTCGTTATCTAGCAGATTGCTACGAGACTACACATTTGAAGAAGCGTTGAGTTGAAGCACTGGTTGCTTTTAGGATCATTTGATAGAGAAACAAAACACTAAGGACACTCTCCCTCTCTCCATATTCCGATCCCAAGAGTTACGATGTTGCTTTTTTATTGGACGCTGACATTATTTCAGATTTACCCTATCGTAACAGCCCGGCGTTGGGCTTTGAGAAACGAGGTAAGACCATATCGTGAGCACAGACGCGCCGAG